GCTGTGAGTGTGCCACTGCACTCCAGCCTGGGCGACAGAGTGAGACTCCAACTCAAAAAAAGGAAAAAATGTCACCTCTTCTGAGCTGAGCCAAGCCCTGGTCTCTCTAGTCTTTCCACAGGGAAATATGGTAAGCAAACCACCTGATTATTTATATATTCACTTGGTTCTTCTTGATCTTACCTATAATACGAAAAATAAATAGATATTTCTTTTAACTGATTCCTTTTTCCTAACTCCAGGCCCCATTTGTGTAACTTAATCCAGATGTTCATATCACAGTGGTGCTTGAATAAGTACGAGCCAACTACACTGTATTTTATGCTGTAAACCTATACCTCATCTCTCTCATAGATAAAAGCATACATTTGATGTATGCAGAAACAATCTTTATTTATCTCTATACATACATATGCAAATGTACAAACTCAATTTTCTTACATACTTAAAACCTGGAAGCCGACATGGTGGCATATAGTCCCAGTTACTCGGGAGGCTGAGGTGGGAGGGTCACTTAAGTCCAAGAGTTCAAGGCTACAGTGAACTATGATTGCACTTATGAATAGCCACTGCACTCCAGCCTGGACAACATAGCAAGATTCCTGTCTCAAAAAAATAAAACAACAACCAAAAACCTGGAACCATACATATCACTACTGATTGGCCACATAGTTTTTAAAAGTACTTCCTTGTAGGGAACAAAACATGTTCTTGTTTATTACAATCTAGTCTTGCCCATTTATCAAGTTAAATAATATGAATGCTTTTAATTCAAAAATAATCCCAAAACTTTATTTTAATCTCTTTCAGAGCTACTAATAAATATAATGATTTTAATTATACTAAGCTTTTTGGTTTCTCCCTTAGGTCTCCTGGTGATGGTACTACAGTCTCATAAAACAGGTGCCCTAAATCCCTAGGCCATGGACCGGTATCAGTCTGTGGCCTGTTAGGAACTGGTCTGTACAGCAGGAGGTGAGCAAGCAAACCTTCATCTGTATTTACAACCGTTGCATTACTACCTGAGCTCTGCATTCTGTCAGATCATCAGCAGTATTAGAATCTCAAAGGAGTACAACCCCTACTGTGAACTGAGCAGGCAAGGGATCTAGGTTGCCTGCTCCTTATGAGAATTTAATGCCTGATGATCTGAAGTGGAGCTGCGACAGTGATACTAGTGCTGGGGAGTGGCTACAAATACAAATGAACACTAGCAGTGAAGTTTGACTACACAGAGATCATAATAAATCAATTGTTTGCAGACATATCAAAACCCTAGGCCAGGCACAGGGGCTCACGCCTGTAATCCCAGCACTTTGGGAGACTAAGGCAAGAGGATTGCCTGAGCCAGGGGTTTGAGACCAGCCTGGGCAACCTGGGGAGACCTCATCTCTACAATCAATCAAAAAACTAGCCGGGCATTGTAGAGCGCACCTGTAGTTCCAGCTACTTGAAAAGCTGAGGCAGAAGGATCACCCAAGCCCAGCAGGTTGAGGCTGCGGTGGCCGTGAGCAAGGTGCCACTGCACTCCAGCCTGGGCAACAGAGTGAGACTCCAATTTAAAAAAAAAAAAAAAAAAACCCTATCAGTGAGTAGAAAGTGGGTAGCTGTACTCTATAGCTGCATCTGGTGGTAGGTTTTAAATCAGAATCCAACACTTATTTTAGTCTGCATACAGCCTGTCCATTATTTTGTTTACTATTTCCATCTGTGCCTCTTTTTTTATGGTGAGTTGTATAATTATTTCACTATATACTACAATGTTATGCACTTGAATCATCCAGAAACCATCCCCCTCTTCCCCAGTCCTTGGAAAAATTGTCTTCAATGAAACAGTCCCTAATGCCAAAAAGGTTGGGGACCACTGCCATAAAAAAGTTTCTGTAGATACAGATATAGATATATTTCCAAAGACACGATGATGGGCCATATATAGCAAGGGAAAAAAATTTAACAGAGCAAAAGAAGAATTCAGAGAGTTTCTCTGTAATAAAACTTGCTGTATGCTAGTAAAAGTGAACTCAGGAGAAAGTAAGCAAGAATGAATAGAAAAGTGAAAAAGCAGGCTGGGCACGGTAGTTCACGCCTATAATCCCAGCACTTTGGGAGGCCAAAGCAGGGGAATTGCTTGAGCCCAGAAGTTCGACACCAGCCTGGGCAATATAACGAAACCTCATCTCTACAAAAAAAAAATTTTTAATTGTCCAGGCGTGGTGGCGCATACCTATAGTCCCAGCTATTCAGTATCACCTGAGCCCAGAAGGTCGAGGCCACTGTGAGCCTATACTCCAGCCTGGGCAACAAAGTAAGACACCAACTAAAAAAAAAAGAAAAAAGAAAGAAAAGTGAAGAAGGAAATAAGACATGGATACATGGATAATGTGAAATCCCAAGCTAATATGCAATGAACTTTCATTTTCACTCCTTCTAGGGAAAACTATTGGCACGAGATATAACAGTTAACTTTAACCACATAATATAGAGATGAGGTGACAGATGAGAAAGGTTTGGAAATGTTCTTAGTAATATTTAAGGCTGGTGTATAATAGTGTTTCCTAACCACTAAGCCCTCAGGATATGAATAGGTATTTTACAAGTAAAGAGATGAATGGTGTCACATACTAGAAATTTCCAGCTTTAACAAAATTGACCAGCTTTCTTTACTGTGTAGGACATCAAAGCCCTTAGTGGGCTCATTTGCACAGTGACTCTCCCAGAGGGCGTAGAGGTGCCATGGCCTGCAAATTTGTCTTACCACAGAACCCTATTTAGATTTCCCAGAGGCTGTTTTATCACATGCAGTTTGATAAAGATTAGAATATATAGGTGTCTCATACAGGTGCTTAGTGAAATTCCCCTAGAGTCACTATCAGGAATTGACATGGCACAAAGATGAAATACATGTGTTTATTACCCAGGACTTCATATACTGAATGTATGTGGCCCACTTACAGTGGACGAAAGGAGAGAATGGGGGATGGGAAACAGCAGAGGGATCTTCTGCCTATATTTCGTAAACACCTATTCCTGAAGTCTTAAATCTCCATATAGTTAGGCAGCTGAGCTGGAAGTTTGGGTTGAGTGCTGGGCTCACTGTTTATATTGTGATAGGAAATCTGGCAGACAAAGAAACAGACTCATTCATTAACAATGACTAGAGAAATCCCAGGCCCCTTGTCAGATCCTTGGTGACTAGGCCCCAAAGTAGGCAGGAAGACCACCTCAAGCAGTTCAGATGAGGACTGCAGATAGCAGCAGCTCATTTCACAACCAGGAAGTAATTGCTGCCATTTGTGCAGCAGGAGAAAAACAGAAGAGTGATTACAAAAGCTCTTTCAGACAGGTCTTCCACCCATTCATCCAGGGGACTCCCAAGCCCCAGGCTTGAAACTAGCAGCTAGCAGATAAGCACCTCCAGAATGCCTGCTCATTTTGTTGTTGACAAAGTCCAGGTTTGCTGTTGGTGCAAAGCAGGAGCCTCATCTCATCTAGGTCTTCCATAGGGGGATATGGTAAAAGTCTCAATTGCAAGTGTAATGAATCAGCTGTCCATCCCTATACATAGACACTTGGACTCCAGTGATGGTGAGAGAAGGGGCCTTTAGGAAGGAGACTGCAGTTTGGGAGCTGGCATATTTACTAGCTATGCCACCTTGGGTAACTTGCTTAACCCCTTTGTGCTCCAATTTCCTCATCTGTAAAAAACAGATAATATTAGTACCTGTACCTACTTCGTAGGGTTTTTGTGAAGATGAATTAGTGCATTGAAAGCACTTAGTACAATGTCTTGTCTGCTGTAGACACCTAATAAACACAGTTAATAATTTGAATGAGTAGAAATTAAAACCAAGAAAAGGTTCGAGATAGAACTAAAGTTTGACATTAGGTACACAGTAGAGACTCAATAAATACTTGTTGACAAACTAAAGTTTGACATTAGGTACACAGTAGAGACTCAATAAATACTTGGTTATCCAATATCTCTTAAGGCCAATGCTGGATACTGGAAAAGGAGTTCCTGCTTGTTTAAATGCAGGTCCAGAAGAACTGAGCTTTTCATCGTCCTTCAAACTGAAGTAGGAAGCCAATATCTCATTGTATTTTCATCTCAAGTTTGAGTGGATGCTAAAGACCATCTAATTCTCTGAAAGAAGGACAAACAAATGTTAAAAGTGGTTTCAGTGACTCAGTGAGTCCTGAGATGCCCCATATGCTTTGAACCACCCAGAACAATGAAGTAGAAACTGGGACTGTCTACAGAGAAATTTCTCAACATTTTCTGCCAAAAGTCAGAAAAGGTCTTTAAAGACAGAAAGTTTCTTCAGTAGCAACGAAGGAAAGGAAGGATCTGTAGCACCATACACCACACTCCACGGATTTACTGCTTGCTTCTCATTTTCAACTCCAAGGAAAGTGTTGATGAATAAGACCATAGTAGCACATGCAAATAAGGCAGAATTAATTTACAGGTGAAACAGAGTTTGGAGGCATGCTCTCACATTCCTGCTATTTCAGCTGAATGTTCTGAGAGAAAATACCATCCTAAGAAGGCATCATAGGCCAAATCCTCGGCACTAACCCATGCTGATGACCATTTATTTTTAGTTTATATAGAATTAACACAGGTGCTAAAATGCTGATGAAAATACAGTCACTTGAACTGCATATACCATACAGAAACACTGTTTCCCACCCCCAGTTGGAGAGAGAGCTTTTCCTCTACTCGTTCTCTCTATATGAAAACAGATACATCCCTCGACAGCCAGAGTGAACTAGTACATGTTCGCTTGGTGACTTATTAAGGAAACTTTCCCTTTTCCACATGGGGGGATGGTGGGTGGCTAGATGAGAAGAAATTAAACCACTCTCTGCTCTCTTCGTCCAGGTATCAGCTTGGGAATCTAACGGATAAGATCTATGTTCATCAACATTTGCAAAGTAGCACAGTGGTGGAACAACTATCCCATCACCAATTTACAAAAATCAAATATGTCTCTTACCTGTGATGGACAAGGTCTCGGAGGGAGCGCAGGTGGTGGGGGTAACAATCCTGACTTAGTTGCTGTAAAGAAAAACATATACTGTTAAGGATCACCCTCCAAAAAGAAAAGACAAAACAAAACAAACAACTTGTGTTAATTAGGAATAGCAATGGCATTTGCATTTAACATGTTTCAGCTTTTTAAATTCCTCTGAAGGTTTAATTTTTTTTTTAAAAAGAATGCATGTTATTTCTAATCCCTTTTTTCATTTTTATCCTACCTAAAACCCAAGTATTTATATAGGTTGTTATGATTAAGATGGTGTAAACCGGGCTCGGTGGCTCAGCCTGTAATCCCGCGCCTTTGGGAGGCTGAGGTGAGTGGATTGCCTGAGCCCGCGGGTTCGAGACCCGCCTGGGCAGCGAGACCTCATCTCTACAATAAATAAAAAAATCAGCCGGGCGTAGTAGCACATGCCTGTAATTCCGGCTACTCGGAAGGCTGAGGCGGAAGGATAGCCGGAGCCCAGCAGGTCGAGGCTGCAGTGGCCGGGAGCGGCCACTGCACTCCAGTCTGGGCGACAGAGTGAGACTCCAACTCAAAAAAAAAAAAAAAAAAGATGGTGTAAAACAGTAAGGAAAAGACACCTGGGCCAGGTGCAGTGCCTCATGCCTGTAATCCCAGTGTTTGGGAGGCTGAGGCAGTAGAATTCTTTGAGCCCAGGTGTTTGAGACCAGTCTGGGCAACACAGCAAGACCTCATCTCTACAATAAAAAATAAAATAAATTAGCCGGGCATGGTGGCATGCACTTACGGTTCCAGCCACTTGGAAGGTTAAGGTAGAGGACCACCTGAGCCCAGGAGATAGAGGCTGCAGTGAGCCCTGATTGTGCCACTGTACTCCAGCCTGGGCAATAGAGTCAGACCCTGTCCAAAAAAAAAGGAAGGAAGGAAGGAAAGAAGGAGGGGAGGGGGGGAAGGGGAAAGGGAGAAGGGGGAAGGGAAGGGAAGGGAAGGGAAGGGAAGGGAAGGGGGAAGAAAGGAAAAGGCACCTGGAACCTATATGGGGGGATAGTCAATGAGGTGAGTGATAGGTGATAGTCATCATTCTGATGTTAATTATTTCATTTCAAATAATCCAGGACAAAAATCAGAAAGGATCTTCCTGGGTTTCTCTCACATTTCTCCCCAGCTCTCAGCAAATACACTGCTCATTAGCTCAGTGAGTAGACTGTAGAAACTAAAGAAGCTAAAGCCCAAATGAGACAACTTGGCTGCCCTGTAAGTGCTCCCGGGAATGATTCTGACAGCAGTAGGGGAGGCCAAAAGTGATGGGCTGAAGTAATATTTAGGGATTCCTCAAAGATCTCAATTTCTTTTTCTCTCTCTGATCATCACTAACAAGGATAACTAAATCTGCTTCTAAAATAATCTGACTACATTTGAAGAATCTTTTGAAATAAAGTTTCAGTTGAACTTCTTAAATTTGTGAGACCAAAAACATCTGAATTGTAACTTAACAATAAAAACAAACAACTGCTATGAAATTATAAATAAAGTTCATAATCACACACAAGAAATAAGTTTAGCTTCGAGACCCGCCTGGACAACTTGGCGAGACCTCATCTCTACAATAAATCAAAATGAGCCGGGTGTGGTAGCGCGCGCCTGTAGTTCCAGCTACTCGGAAGGCTGAGGCAGAAGGATCGCCGGAGCCCAGCAGGTCGAGGATGCGGTGGCCGGGAGCGGCCACTGCACTCCAGTCTGGGTGACAGAGTGAGACTCCAACTCAAAAAAATAAAAAAATAAAATAAATAAAAAAATAAACAAGAGCAATATACCAACAACATGAAATATTTTGCAAATCACTTTTGATTTTTCCTAGCTGTATCAGACAAGCTAGAAGTTGGAGTTTGGTGCTTTCACAAATAACTCAGTAATGTCACAGAGATTTTCATTTCTAGCCAGTGTATGGATACAGTATATTGAGGAGGGCCTATCTATGATTTCTCTCAATCTGTCTTTCATTAAAACTTATGAAACTTCACCTGTATGTAGACCACTTATACACCTAATCCTGACTCATACCCCACATCTTTAAAATATTAAAAAAAAAAAACACAAATGAACAACATGAAGAATTAAAAAGGGCAAAACTGCGGCTATTGCTGCAGAGATTAAAAAATAATAGGAGAGAACTATGAACAATTTTATGTCAATAAACTTGAAATAAACAACTTCCCAGAAACATATGCCATGCCAGACCTGACTCAAGAAGAAACAGAAAACCCAAATAGACCTGTAACATTCAATAATGTCATTCTTTGTTGAAAAGAAAAATAAATACATCAATGAGTAGGTAAAAACTCCAGAGGTGGTGAGACCTTCAACAGACATCAGTAGCAAAGCAAGAGTGCTGAAAACCTTCAAGAATTATTCATCTCTGGGCTCCTGGGTTATAGAACCTCACAGATTAGACCTTTAAATTATCAGTTACTTAAAAAAAATGAAACAAATAAACAAAACCTATGCATCATTCTAAGGGAAAGGCCAAGCAACTGAACCAGAATAAAGTATGTGTTAAAATAACCCTTTACTAAGTTACACAGGAAATGATAAGCCATTTAATTAAATTGACTTCTGCTTGCAGCCAAGATAGAGCAATAGAGACCAGATTTACCCATTCATTTAACATAACCAAAAAGAATCAAGAAAAATATATGAACAAGTTTTCAAGATACTAGAAGAGAGGCAGCAAAAGACAATGATCCCTGATAGAAATCTAACTAGGTGAGCCCTGTGATTGACTGTCCCTGCTCACTAGAGTTGCTAGAAACAGGATCTAGATTCTGATTCAGGTCTCATTACATTATTTTTTTACTATTAATTAATTTTTAAAAAGACAAATGTCCTATTTTTGTAAAAGATGTGTGGGTCTGTTTATGTATATACTTGTCGATAAAATTGTATTACCTACACTACCATTTGTTAAGTTCATTAGAAATTTCATTAGAAATGGGGTAAAAGATTGAGACCATTTAAAATTGAATCCTGTCTCAGTTTCTCACCATTTAGGCTTTAAGCAACAGAAGAATATCATAGGCGTGTGTAAATTGTTCATTCTGAATCTTTCATTTTAAGACTTGATATTGCCTATTTTCCTCATTAAATTCCAAGAGGATTTTTTTGGGGGGAAGCCCCCAAACTTAAATCACAAGTTTTATACATTTTTTAAGAGATAAGGTCTCACTCTGTCACCCAGGTTAAAGTATAGTGATGCTATCATAGTTCACACTGCAGCCTTTAACTCCTGGGTTCAAGTGATTCTCCTGCCTCGGTCTCCTGAGTAGCTAGGACTGCAGAAATACGTCCCCATGTTCAGCTAATTTATTTTTAATTTTCTTTAGAGGCAAGGTCCTGTCATGTTGGCCAGGCTGGTTTCAAACCCCTGATCTCAAACAATCCTCCTGCCTTGGTCTCCCAAAGTGCTGTGGATATAGGTACTTTGGGAGATCAAGCCCAGTCATATTATACAAATATTAACAGCAGTTTTATTTCCTCTTTTCAACACTTTTACACTTTTTTTTTTCCTGGTCTTACCTAGATAGACTATCCACTATAAAGCTGAATTAAAATGGTGAAAATGGCATATTTGTCTTCTCTTAATCTCAAAGGGTTCAAGTTCACCATAAAGTATGGTGTTAGCTATAGGTCTGTTGCAGATACCCTTTAATACATTATGAAAATTCTCATCTAATCTTATTTTGAAATTTTTTTTCCTCAGGATAATTTGTTGTTGAATTTTAACCAAAGCTGCAACTCCATTAACCATCGAGATGATGGTATGATTTTTTTCCTTATAATTTGTTAATATGGTAAATTATATTATGAATTTTCTAATATTAAAAACTCTTGTAAACCTAGGATAATCTCAACTTGTTCAGGTTTTTGTATCTGCTAGATTCCGTTGGCTAATATTTTGTTTAGGATTTCTGCAACTATATTCATGAGTGAGACTGACAAGTCATTTTCCTTTTTCATGTGGTCCTTTGTTATGCTTGATTCAGCTGGAAAGTATTCCCCATTTATACTCTAAAATAGATTGTATAAGATTGGGAATGTTTTTTTCCTTAAATATCAGGTACAAACTTACCCAGTAGAGTTATCTGGGCCCAGACTTTTCTTTAAATAATCTTTTTGACTAATGATTCCATTTCTTTAATTATTATAGGACTATTCAGACTTCCTTTATTTTTTTTTTTTTTTTTTTTTTTTTGTGGGG